CCTGGGAAGAGCTGCTGCCACCCACTGCCTTCCTGGTTGCGAGTCTTGTGGCTACCCTTAGAGTTTAAGAGGAAGTGAAATGTTTATGCCCAAGAAGAGGGGTATGGGCAGGGCAAGCTCTAGAGTGGGTCCACACTGATGTCCTTTGTTTCGAGGGTTTTATTTTTCATCTGCCAATGAGAATCTTAGGGGAGGGTTTTAGCAGAATATTCATCAGCTTTCCAAATGAGCATATATGGGATTTGGGGATTATTCTTTGGTCTATTTTACTTTTATCTCGGGTCTGCCTTACTCTGATGGGGTTTTTGTTATTTGTTCTTCTGACTTCATCTGTCCTCGGGTTTACGTGGCATAAATGGCACTAGTTGGGTCTGTGTTCTCTGTTTTCCCTGACTAGGCTGATTTAAGATATATATTCTCTGATTAGGAAGGAGAGGTATAAACCATTTGCTCTTAAGTGTCCTTGGTTATGGAAGATAAAGTATTCTAATTCACTAACTGGCTGTAAGTTATTAAAATTGCTTGGCCTTGTTTAGTTTTCTTGCCTCTGTTTCCCTATTCCACTTCCAGGAATTTTCTTAACTTCTTACCGTCCTGCTGCAACTCCACTAGTACAACACCTGGTGCTGTTCTCTCTGCCAACAAAGCTATGTAGCTAATTCTAGATTGTACCCTGCCTGACACTTATGAGCACTTTAGCAGAGGCTAATAATGACAAAGTATGCTTTGTCTCTTTTTGTCCTTCCTCTTACAATTCTGCTTTGTCTCTTTGATTCCCATTTACTATAATCATGTGCTCGACACCCTTAAGAATCCAGAGTAGAGAAGTCTTAGGAAGCCTGTGTGCTGATGTCAGCCTGCCATACATGTGAGAGCTTTATAGAAGTCTGTTTCCTGTTGAGTGTATAATCTGCTCAGGGAGGAAAAAAAGTACTGGGAAGCACTTTTGGGTTCACCAGAAGGGTGTGTCCTTCAAAATAATCTCGTTGCCATGCCAGTAGTGACAGTTCACATCCGCCTCTCAGATGCTTAGCTCTTTTTTTTTTCTTTGATAATTAGAAAGCAGGACTCTTGGAATCTTCAAGTTTGATGGAGATCAGTTTTGCATCCAAGCCTATCTTTGAACCCACATGGAGTTTTGCTCATTTTTAATAGGAAGATAGCAGATATTGACTTGTAATTGGCAAAAATCACTTCTAGGAGTAGAATCACTAACTTATATAATTTGAAAGATCTGGGCTTACTTACTCCCAAAATGGCTTTCTACCCATGGGATATTGGAAAACCTGACCAGGGGTGGCCTTCCCAGACACTAATTGATTAATGTGTCTTATTTTTCTGATCACTTCCTGCTTTGTTGGTATGTGAGAGATGGATAACTTTGGAGCATACTGCCTGGGAAGTGCAAGCTTTGAAAGGTATCTTGTTGGGGCTCTGGGAGGTGATGGAGAAGCACAAGGCTGTCTGGGTAGGAGATGGGGGTATTACAGAAAGGAAAGGTTATAAAAAATCAAGATGAAAAGGTTCAAAAGCAACAGTCTTTTTCATAATTGTAACTAAAAGAGGTGGATGAAAGAGAAACTGTAGCATGAACATGTGTGTGTTGAAGCTAAAGGCTCATAAACAGTTAGCAAAGTACTGAAGCATCTATTTATGATTATATCTAATGAATGATCAGTTCTTAATTCAAGAAAGGCCTCTATATCTTGATTATACATCCTAGAATATGAACCTTTTGCCAGGTCCACAGTCCTACTATGGTTAGTAAGGTATGAAATTAAATTTGCATCTTTTTGCAATAATGATAATTAATATTATTACTTTTCATGAGGATTAACAGCTTTAATCAAGGCTCAAAATCTTAATTAAACTTTAAAATACCAAAATGTGTCCTGGCCTGGTAGCTCAGTTGGTTGGAGCATCGTCCTGATATGCCAAGGTTGCACCCCTGGTCAGTGCACATATAAGAATCAACCAACGAGTGCTTAAATAGGTGGGACAACAAATCAACGTCTGTCTCTGTCTCCCTGCTCCTGCCTCATCCCCTTACCACCTCTCCCCTTTACCTCCTCTCCTGCTACCCCTTCTCTTTGTCTGAGTAAATAAAAATAAATAAGTAGACCTGAGGTCAAGATGGCAGCACAGGTAAACACAGCTCATCTCCTCCCACAGCCACAATAAAATCACAACTAAATAGAGAACAACCATCACTCAGAACTGTCGGAGATTGAGTTAAATGGAAGTTCGACAACTACAAAATTAAAGAAACCACACCCATTGTGGGATGTGGGGAGCAGAGATGTGGAACACACTGGTCCCACATCCACGTGTGGGGAATAAAAATTCAGGAGGAATATCTTGGGAGTGAAGAGTCTCAGCCCCACACCAGGCCCCCCAGCCTGGGGTTCCAGTGCAAGGAAGATAAGACCCTATAACTTTTGGCTGCAAAAAACAGCGGGGATTGAGTCGGTAGTAGGAACTTCGGGAGTCCCAAGCAATTCCCCTTAAAGAATCCAAACAAAGATACACTGAGACTTATTCCCTGTGAGCTCCAGCACCAGGGTAGCAGCTTGAAAGGCGCCAGAGGCATATAGGAAGGAACTAAAGTGTCTGGCATCAAGGCAGGAACTGGGGAACAGCTTTCTCCCAGACAGAAAAATTGGCAAAGGCCATTGTCCCTTTTCTGGGCCTTTTCCACCACACAGGGCCACAGATCCAGCAGGCAGGTGCCACATCTGAGACTCCATCAACCTGGCTAACACTGTTTGCCCCACCCTGGAGAACCCCTTAAGACCCCATTTTACCCAAGCTGGTAACTGTGACTTTTCTGTATGAATGGCTGGTCTTGACTCAAGCTTCACAACTTCCTAAATCCTATCAAACAAGCAACAGCCAGTCTCATAAACTCACAGCTAAGTGGCCCCAGACCTGGCACTAGGAGTAACCAGCCTAGATTCACAGTTTAACTTTGCCTGGGAATCTCCAAGTCCAGCACAAGTAGCCACATCAGATTGCTTTACAGCTCAGGAAGGGCATCCCTGGGCAAAACACAGGTGGGGGCTGCCCTTGATCTGCATCACCCAGGAAACCCCAGAGCCTGTGCACCATGGAAAGCTACAGACCATGTCAGAGCATTACCACCCACTGCCCAGCTGATTGTCCACAGAGACTGGAGGTTGGTCGTCAGTGGTCACAGCCAGTCCTTGCAGGTGATGGGCCTGGTTACATCCTTCCCATTGACCTGCCAACAGCAATCAATGCTCAACTACAAAAGGAGGGAATACTCAGCCCACATGAAGGGCACACCTCAAGTACCTAGCTTGGGGGATAGGGGAGGTTGTGCCACTGGACCCTATAGGACACCTACTACATTAGGCCACACTACCAAGATGGAGTCATAGCAGCTCTACCTAATACATAGAAGCAAACACAGGGAGGCTCCAAAAATGAGCAAAACACATGGCCCAAATTAAAGAACAAATCAAAACTCCAGAAAAAGAACCAAACAAAATGGAGATGAGATAAGCAGTCTATCAGATGCAGAGTTCAAAACACTGGTTATAAAGGATACTTAAGGAACATAGTGAAGAAATTGGCAGTATAAAAAGGATCCAGTCAGAAACAAAGGATATGCTAATTGAAATAAAGAACAACTTACAGGGACATAAAAGTAGAGTGGATGAAGCTGAGAATCAAATCAATGACTCAGAACATAGGGAAGCAAAAAACAACCAATGAGAACAGTGAGAAGAAAGAATTTAAAAAAGTGAGGGTAGTGTAAGCAACCTCTGGGACAAATTCCAAGTGTTCCAACATTCCCATCGTAGGGAGCCAGAAGGAGAAGAGAACAAAAAATTGAAAACTTATTTGAAAAAAATAATGAAAGAAAACTTCCCTAATTGGGTGAAGGAAATAGACATACAGGTCCAGGAAGCACAGACAGTCCCAAACAAGATGGATACAAGGAGGCCCACTCCAAGACACATCATATTAAAAATGCCAAAGGCTAAAGATAAAGAAAGAATCTTAAAAGCGGAAAGACAAAAGCAATTACCTACAAGGAAGTTCCCATAAGACTGTCAGCTGATTTCACAAAAGAAACTTTGCAGGCTAGTAGGGATTGACAAGACATATTCAAAGTCATGAAAAGCAGAGACCTATAGCCCAGATTGTTCTACCCAGCAGAGATACCATTTAGAATCAAAGGGCAGTAGCTTCCCAGATAAGAAAAAGCTAAAGGAGTTAATCATCACCAAACCATTAAATGAAATGTTAAAGGGACTTACTTAAGAAAAAGATCAAAACTATAAATAAGAAAGTGGCAATAAATACATAACTACTAATAACTGAATCTAAAAAACAAACAAAAAAAAGCCAAGAGACAGAATCATGCATACAGAGAATATTTTAATGGTTGCCAGATGGGAGGGGGTGTGGGCAAACGGGTGAAGAGGTGAAGGGATTAAGTACTAGTAGTTAGCTGCAGAATAGCCTCGGGGATGTGAAGTATAGTACAGGAAATGGAGTAGCCAAAGAACTTAAAGGCATGACCCATGTACCTTAACAATGCTGTGAGGATTGCCTGAGGGACTAGGGGGTGCTGGGTGGAGGGGGGCAAAGCATGAAAAATTGGGACAACTGTAATAGCATAATTAATAAAATATAAGTAAAGAGAATTGATCTTTTAAAACAACAACAATGAATGAAGAGTTATGATAATTTTAAACAGGGCTCTAAGGATTATGCCTTCCTATCTGGGAATGTAATTTTGTCATTTCTTGTTTTATCGAAGACTATTCTACAAAAAATGTTGGTTAGCTGTGGATGTAACTAAAACAATATATGTGACTAGCAGGCCATTCCAGATCATACACGTGTTATGGCACTTTTTGGTGTGGTTCTAGTGGTTATTTGCAGGCTTTGTGTTATTATGTGTAGTTTTGTTTCTAAGATCCACTTAAATACTTTGAGAATACACCTTGTTTTATTTGTTCTTTCAGCCCACATTTACCTGAGTACCAACTCTCAGATCCTGGCACGTGTTAGATACACGAAGATAAAGCACAAGAGTTCAGTATAGTACATTGCCAGGTACCTAGCTTCCCTGATTATTAGTGAGTGTACTCTGTGGCAGGATTTTTCAACCTCAGAATTTTGATATTTTAGGCCAGATAATTTTTTTGTTGTGGGGTGCTGTCCAAGGAGCATTATAGGCGTTTAGCAGCATCCCTGGCCTCTTATGTACTAGATGCCAGTAACACTACCCCTACCCCAACTGTGAGAATCAAAAACTGTCTCCAGACATTGCCAGATGTCCCCTGGGGCAAATCCAGAATGAGAACCGGGCTATCTGAGTCATTGACAAAGAGTTTTGGGAAAATTGGTTTTCAAAAATACAAAGCAGTGTAATGTAATGTAATGAAAACAACCCAGATCTGTCACACATTGCTTATTACTCCACAGGATTCCTCATACAGTAGCGGTAGTGTTGAATAACACCTATTCATGTCTAGTTTACATGCTATGAGATCTCTTTCTGAGTTAGTGTGTATAAGAATAATTGTTCCATTTTTTCACGGCTTCACTGAAACAACAAACAAGGCAGTAATTGGAAAGGGTGGGTATACTATTAATAATAAAAAGAACCCTCTTGTTAAGAATGAAAATATTTTATGTTCCCTAATGAGTAGCCTGGACAACTGGCACATTTTTTAATGTTTTCTGTGTTTTTCAGGTGCATGACTTTGAATTTTGTTACATTACCAATGAAACACTGCCTAACTTAGACTTCTTCACCTTACTGCTTTCCCATATTCAAACAATGTATAACGAACATTATACAACTAAATTTATTTTAATAGTCTCTTAAAGCTTGTGTTCTAGTAATGCCTTCCTTCTCGAAGTAAAGGGATCACTTTCCTATTAGAAACAGCACTTTACAAGTAGCTCTGATACCTGAGTTTTAGGTTCTCCTCTGGTATGAACTAGCATTTAGGCATCCATTTACCTTCTTTCTTCACCTGTGACTAGAGAGATAGAGAGAGAGAGAGAGATGGACGGATAGTAGATTCTTTTATCTTGTTTTCCAGATAAATATCCTAAATTCCAGAAGTTCACACAGTCTGCTCAAATTTATTTTTGTCTCCTTATTCTTACAAAATATTCACGTTTCAGTTTTCGTGCCTGTCAAGAGTTTTAATTCATCATGGAGAATCTGTCATCAGAAGAAATTCAGTTGAGGGCTCACCAGGTTACTGATGAGGTAAACATTTTACTTGGAATAAGTAATTTTCTTTTAGTTTTCAGAGTGGAAGGATGGGAGGACTTTCTTAGAAGACTATTTTGGCCTCTTCCTAGTCCCTTTATATCAAAGAATGCATTTGCCCTACAGTGCCATTACTAGCTGTCTATTTTTTCATTTTACCAAAAAACTAAATAAGTGAAAACAAATTCGTATGATTTTTTTTTTAGATGATCATTACTTAACAGCTACTTACAACCCTTAACAACAAACACACTCTAGATGTGAGGAATTCTGGACATTTAATTTTAACAGAACTTTCCAATATCTGGGTAATATACCTAGATTTCTGCTTACATTAAATTTTTATAAATCCCATTAACTTCACCCTCCAAATTTTTTCTTAAGGAGTACCTGGTAGGAAGAAAACTAAAGTTATGGTGATCAACTTTTTTTTGTATGTTTGTTTGAAAAAGAGGAATTGATATGCTGGCAGTCTTTAAGATATTTAAAGATTTTTTAAAAATTATTATTTTTAAAGAGAGGGGAAGGGAGGGAGAGAAACACGTAATGGTTGCCTCCTACACACCCCAAACCAGGGACTAGCCCTCAACCCAGGCATGTGTCCTGACTGGGAATTGAACCAGCAGACCTTTTGCTTTGCAGGGATGACACCCAACCCACTGAGCCACACCAGTCATGGCTGTGCTGGCAATCTTTAAAAATAGAGTAGCATCATGAACATAGCCTGTGATCACATTTTACTTTTTTCTAAATTTTTAAAAATTTATTTTTAGAGGGGAAGGGAGAGAGAAACATCAATGTCCATTGATCACGCCTCCAGTGGGGGGACCTGGCCCGCAACTCAGGGACGAGCCCTGAGCAGGAATCAAACCGGAGACCTTTCAGTTCGCGGGAGGATGCGCAACCACTGAGCCACGCTTGTCAGGGCATATTTTACTTTTTTCCTACACGTTTTAGAATGCTAAAATTTTTATGTTTTTTCCTAGTCTCTGGAAAGTACAAGAAGAATCCTGGGTTTAGCTATTGAGGTAAGAAAGTGTTTAATTATCAGGTTAAATACAGAAACTGTGTAGGAGGGATGCTGATATCACAACCTGGAATTGGTGTTAAGAGTCAGAAAGGTGTGATATCAATAAGCTTTATTATTTGAAACCTACAATTAATGAAACGGTCAAAGCACACACCAACGGGACTTTCTTCCTCCATTGACAACAACGGAAGATGACAGGGGCGATGAGTGCACTTTGAGCTTGTGATTTAATTATTTGGTGGGAGGTAGTATGTTAAAATGTGTTGGTTTGGGGATAATAATTTTCTCAGCAGTTGTACTCCTCCAATAACTTAGGTTTCTTAATGACTCCTGCTATTTATCAGGCCTTACAGTTTTTCTTTCTGTTACTTTTGCTGTGTTTTGTTATGCTATCAGCTTTTCCCCCTTCTTTTAGTCTCAGGATGCAGGAATCAAGACTATCACTATGCTGGACGAACAAGGGGGTGAGTTGAAGTTATTGGGCGATTTGACTTACAATACCAGAAAGCCCTTTCAAATCAACCATGAAAAATATCTTATAAAATTAAGCCTTTGGGAGTGGCTGGCCTTTGTAACATAAGAGTGGTATATTTACTTCTTCTGATTTGAATTATGTTAATTGCTCATTGGAGGTGGGGATAACAATGTCCAGGGGATAACAATTGTATACCAGGTGTCTGTTAGGCAGTGGGACTTATTATGTGCATTGGTCATACATACATTAGACATTGTGATATTTTTGCATCATTTTCAGAAATCCCATTCAGTCCTCAAATAAGCCTAGATTCAGGCAAGTTTGGAAACATTGCACTTGAGTTGGCTTCAATAATCTGGTCTGGTTTTTCCTAGTCTTATGACAGCCATCAGGTTTTGAGCTTATTCAAAGATAGAAATACTGGGGATTTTGTCTGGTCACAGTGCACTTGATTTGGTTGCAACAGTGATGTCTGAGCAAACCCTCAGATGCTCCTGTTATACAACTTTCTTTAGAATAAATCTTTTCCTCAGTAAGAGGACAAGTGCCTTAGCATCAGTATGTGAAAGATTATTTTTATGTTGTGTAGTGTGTGCTGCCTCCGGGCACTGATGCAGTTACTGTGTGTGTGGTGTTGGATTCAAGATTGAAGTTTGCTGTTTTACAATAATAGTTAGCACTGTGAGTGTAAAACAAAATGTAATTTCTACATCTTATTCTTAGAACAACTAAACCGCATAGAAGAAGGCATGGACCAAATAAATAAAGACATGAGAGAGGCAGAGAAGACTTTAACAGAACTCAACAAGTGCTGTGGCCTTTGTGTCTGCCCATGTAATAGGTGAGTTGATAACTCAGGACCCTTTAAAGATAAATTTAAAGTGAGAGCCTCCCCGCTCTGTCCCTAATAAGGTAATGACTTATGAGTAGGCCTAAAAAAGGAACTGTGTTAGAAAAACTTAAGCTATTTCTCCTTCAGGCAGATCAAGCTTTTCATGTAAATGGGTAGATGCACTGAAAACCATGTCTTAAATTCGATTAATTCTTGGATCAAGTCCCAATCTTATTTTATAGTAATACATGAGAAGGCTGGGAAATATACACTAGATAATGCAGAACAGGATGGAATTTATGTGTTTTTCTTTCCAACAAGGGGTATTTAAAAAATACATATTCTGCAGTAGGCACATGAGGGATGGCCAGGGGCTGAAGGGGTTTGGGTCTTGTCTTCAAAAGATTTACCATGTGTTTAGATGTATGAGGAAGAAGAGCAAAAAGTAAAAAAAATGTATAAATCTAGTGCTAGATCAGGTGACATCGACTAAGGCTAAGGGTACAGAACTGATAGAAGCTGCTGTGGAGAACATCTTATAGGAGAGGTAGGACTTGAATTGGGTTCTGAGTGATGAGAGAAGGATTTGGATGGTCATGGAAAAACTGGGAGGGCATTTCTGATGGAAGATTTAATGTAGACAAACACTTCAGACACGCTAGACTTAACTGAGCTGCATGATTTATATAGATGAGGACTGGAAAATAAGTAGGCAGCAGAGTAACCCGGATGCCAGACTAAGGAGTCAATGGTTTGGAGTGGAGTATATTACTACCCACCAGGAGACTAGTTAGAAACCATTTGTAATCTAGGCCTACAAAGCAAAAGCTTATCGAGATTAGAGAGAAAAATGTAAGTCAGAATTCATTTTAAATCAGCCGATGGTATGTCAGACACAAGGAAGGAAAAAAATCAAAGAAGACTCCAGAGATTTGAGGTCTCTAGTAAACTAGATGAGGGGCCTTCAAACTGTTTGTATGTAGTATATGAGATTATGCTTGACTCATTCATTCTTGGTGACTCCCTTTGGAATATTTGAATTCTCTACTTAGGTAAACTTAGGAGTTTGGTTTACTCCATGGTGTTGACAAATATGTATTATTCAAACCTAGATAAGACAGTTAATCATTATGAGCTCCTTATAACAATAAGGAGCTCATCTTTATTTTTAAAAGTAATTAACAAAACAGCTTTGAACTTTACCCTTAGTTGAAAGGGCAGTGTCTGGAGATTGCATGACTACCACTACTGCTGAGAGTATTCATTTGAAAGGGCTTCAAGAGCATTAGTACTTCCATGTAGCTGTCTCAGCTGGTTAAACCAGGAATGGGATACAGGGATTTATAGTCTCTCAGCATCTTTACTCCCCAAAGGAATCAAGGATGGAGGAACTTTTATTTTATTATGAATTTTCATAAGTGTTTTCATGTGGTAACATTTTCTGTGTCATTTCTACTAGAGGAAATAGAGTTAGGATGCTTGCTGATCAACTTTAGTGTTTGTTTTTTTTAGACACAAGAAGTTAAGATTTGACAGTGTTCGTCTAGTATTGTCCATTGTCTTCCTAATATGAGACAAGTCTGTTGACCTCTTTAAACTTTGGATGACTCTCCAAAAGTGCATATTTGAATAACTATGACTGCCAGCCAGAGTTTAGCAAATTATTGTAAGCAAACCAGTTAGAAATGGACAGATTTTTTAAAAATCTAAACTCTTAACTATGTTTTACAATTTTTTTCTTTTCTCCTGTGTTCTGTGTACCCTCTTGGAAGAATGCAGAGGAGAAAAAGTAAATGAAATTCCTTGCCATTAGATATTAAGAGAAGAGCAAGGAAGAAGAAGTCCTCTGCTGAACCTACAGCAAAATCAGTTCTGAGTCGGGTTGAACAGGAAGAGCAGTGAATCCTGAAATGTCTACTAATCATAGAAAGTGGGAAATGAAACAACAGAAGTATTAATTTTATTTCTCTTTGGGTATCCCAGCCAAGCATAGGCAAGATTTTCTTGGACAATTGTAAAAGACAAGGTAGAGTGCAGTCCTGAAGCAGCCTTTCCCCTGTAACCTCAGCAGAACTCTTTCCCAGTGGGTCCAGAGAAGGCACTTCTTAACCGATGGAATCAAGGGATTACTGTAACAGTCGGAGAGAGTTACAGGTGTCTGATTGTAATTGCCTTCCTTCCACCTATCTCTTCTTTATATTATGGAGTCCTTGGCCTATATAGTCTCTCTTGTCTTCAGCTGTATCTACTATCATTTCTGCCAGTGTTTTGATCTTTCCCATCTCATCTGCTGGTTTCCATTAGGCTTTTCATATAAATGGCTATAACAATGGCTTCTCAAAGGCCGATACAGGATCTTAGTCTTATTCATATGAGGCTAGTACTAAGTGTGATATTAGTAATAACAGTTTAGGTCCACAGTCTCTCATCTGCAATTCAGAAATATAAAAGATTCTGAAAGCCAAAGGTTTCTTTTTTTTCTTAATGTGGTAACACAGTCTATTAATTAGTCCACAAAGTGTAATCTGAACTGAAGCTCTTTATTGTCTTTACCACACTTAGTATATATGTCATTTTGTTTCACGGCAAAATAATAGATGTGTTTGATGATGTGGCACTGCTCAGAATGTTTCACATCCAAGGGTTTGGACAACAGTTGTGGGCCTATATGTTAATTTAGTTAGGCTCTTACTACTTTAAATTTAATCTTAACAGTAACTTTACTATCAGATAGATTCTCTTCTTATCACCATCTTACATTTGGAGGAACAGAGGCACAAAGAGGCTACACTAGCAAGCAGAAGAGCTGAGATTCAAAACCAGGCAGAGCCCTAGCTTTGAGCTATATCCTATATTGCTTGACTTTGACAAAGAACGAATGAACTTTTTGGTTGACTATTGTTAGATGTACTTGTATTGCTATATAGAAAATCTCTTGAGTAGGCTTGTTCTTTGAGATATTTTTTTGGTCAGTAGTGTTCATTGAAGCTAGGTCACCAGATCTTTTAAAAAAAAATAAGTGATGGAAATACCTTTACTTAAACAGAACCCTGTATTAGAAGGCAATTTTAACTTGAGCTAATTTTTTTACAGGATTACTAGAATTTAAAAACAGACTACCAGAATTAAACTTTAAGATTGTGAATAAATGTCATGTTACCTTGCAACTATTTGAATCCTAAAAGCAAAATAGCACATATCCTTATTAAAAAATGTATCTTTGTTAATAACTTTGAGAAGTTGTAATTCTAATTCACAAGAGCGTAAAGGAGACAGACTGGAAATGGGAAGTATCAGACTAGTAAACTGCCTGCTGTACCAGTTTAACCATTCTCCGGCAACAAGGTGTTCTGTTTTTACTTGTTTCTCTTCAGTCTGTGCTTATAATGTCAAACATAATGGCACATAGTTTGAAGACAAATTGGTATTTCTGGACCACTTACTAGAAAAGTTCAAAACTGGTACTATAGGTTTTGTACTTATTTCAGTCCTGTCTCATATGGAGGTGCAAATATTCAGCTTTGATTGGCTGAAATAATGTTGAATTACATTTTAGTCAACACTTGAGTGCATCCTCCACCCTGCTCACTGAAGACGTACCAAGACGAGTAAGGATAGTTCTGGTGCTGTTCTGTGTACCCTCACTCTATTTTTGTGTGTCACATGGTATCCGATAAATAGTAGGTATGCAATGAATGTGGGTTGATTCAATATCCTTGAGAAGCTTGTTGGCTGATGGTAGAATTGATGTGTAAAATGATTTTTAAAAATTAAAATACAAAAAAAATTATAATAGAAGTAATTAAGCAAAATCTGTAGTCACCAAGATTGAGAAAGTTTCACCTCTCTGTTAATATTTGCCTTCTCTTTGCATTAATTTTCATAATTTTAGAAAAGAATATTATTGTCTATATATTCTTAGGAATAATGAAGTATGCTCTGATTTAAATAGTTTTTCTTTTTTCTTTTTATTTAGATTCTCAGATGTTGATTGTTTCTATCAAATCAGGCAGGAATTTAAATGCATTATGTTTTGAAAACTCTAAACCTGCTTCTGTTCTGTTTGACTGGCATTCACTATTTTCTGCATTTTATTCTCTCACCTAATCTTTTCCTTTCTAATGTGCTTACTAAAAATGAAGACTAAACATCAGAAGCCGGGCTCAGTAACTGATCAAAGGGAACTTTAAGATGCAGTCTTATGGCGCAGTTGGGGCTGTTAACCTGCTGTCTGAAGGTGATGCTTCAAATGGCTTTTCTGTGCATGTGCATGGATTTTGTGAATGGTGGAGACTGTCCTGAAAACTGTGCTGTGGTGTGTAATGTAAAGTGAATTTGTTCTTGATGGGTGCTGTCTGCCAAAAGATGAACTTGACAAAAAGGATCTTAATTTATAACACTACTCTTTGACTAGTGGCTCTGATAACTAAGATTTTGCTAAATAACATTTAGTTTTATAAAAATAAAAATACCCCTGAAGTTTCCAAAGAAGTTTTAAATTGTTTGATCTTTGTAGAGAGTTGCTGTGTTCTTGTTTTGATCAAATGTAAGTGAATTTAGGCTAAATCCATCTCTCTCCATAGGACTTTGATTTCAGCATCCTGTCTCTTATTAAGTTTCCCTACTCCTTTCTGGTTCCAGAATCAAGATTTTCTCTATTAAAGTGTTGTTTGTAATGATGTGAATTCCCCGCAATTTAGGTCACTACCAAATTGAGGAATTAATTGCCCAATCCAGCCATCTTAAATGCCATTTGGAACAAGGTGGGATATGAATTTAAAATATTTCCGTATCTAGTATCTTCTTTTTAAAATAAGGGTTTCCCCCCTTTATATATGTTACAGTCTGTTTCATAATTCCTAATATGTCATGTGTTAGCTTTCTTTCTTTCTTTCTTTTTTTTTTTTAAGATTTTGACCAGGAATTGAACCGGCAGCCCTTTGCTTTGTGGGATGACGCCCAACACACTGAGCCACACTGCTCAGGGCAGTATGTGTGAGCTTTCTGGGCCGTATGTGTTAACTCTCTGTGGTTTCATGTTAAATTAAGGTGGAGCTAACTCACCTTTTAAAACATTTTATTTATTTATTTTTAGAGAGGAAGGGAGAGAGACAGAGAGAGAAACATCAATGTGTAGTTGCCTCTCATGCATCCCCTGCTGGGAACTAGCCTGCAACCCAGCATGTGCCCTGACTGGGAATCAAACCAGCAACCCTTTGGTTGGCAGGCTGGTTGGTGTTCAGTGTACCTAGCCACACCAGCCAGGGCTGATCTTATTCTCTTAAATGAAAGTTTACCCTGTAGCAAGGTTACCGTTTACTATAATGTTTGACTCCTTCATTTTGGATGTTTAAGGGAACTATGAAGACTATGGTTGTTAGAAAATTAAGTCTTTGATTTTTACCCTTTTTTCTTGGTCTCGTCTATTTCCTATAACCTCATCATTCAACACACACACACACACACACACACACACACACTCTTGTACTCATTACAATTGGTATTTATTTAATTGCTTTCTTCTTGATATGAAAGGATTTTGGCTAATATTTGGCTTTCTTTTTGCTATTCAGTTAGTACTAATGTTGACTGCCAAAACTAGAAAGAGAAACTATTCAAGTGATTGTGTTATTATCTTGATACTTGTTGTTTTCTCCTTTTATAGCAGCTTGTTCAATTGAGAGATTTTAAATTTTTATTTCAAACCTGTCACTTTTAAATGAGACTTATATGGGGGGGAAAAAGTGGTTGAAGGTTATTAGACTTCTTAAAATGGATAGAAGTAAATCTAACTTTCCAGGCAGAGTTCTTAATTGCACTGAAATCTTTCACAAATTTGTGTGAGCATTTTTATCACAAAACCAATTATTTTTAATAGAGAGGCTATAAATTTTATTATGCAGAAGAGTTCTGTTGCAGATCAGAACCATAGTTTTTGAGCAAAAACAACCTGGGCCTAGATGTCTGTTTGTGTGAATGTATTCCAACTATATTCAGCTACCTGTAGATCTCAGAGCTGGGGAATGTTAATGCGCCAGAAGAGTAAACAAGCATTTAAAGGCATGCACTCTTAAACTAAAGATCAGGTTGAGGTTGAAGCCAAAGTATAAAAGTATTTGTCTAATACTCTACAGAGCAATTTTGCATCCATTATTAACAGAACTTTTCATAGCCCAGTGTACTATTAAGTGTTACGATTATCTTCGTTTTTCTAAATTGGATTTTAGAGAGAGAGGAGAGAAAAAACATCAACTTGTTGTTCCACTTTTTATGTATGCATTCACTAGTTGATTCTTGTACATGCCCTGACTGGGGATAGAACCCACAACCTTGGCGTATCGGGATGATGCTCTAACCACCTGAGCTTCCTGTCCAGGGCTGTTATTATCTTAGGTTTTTATAAAACTAAGAGATAAAAGTTGGCTGAAGGTTTTATAGCTACTGAATGACAGGTCTAGAATTAGGGTTCAGATCAATTTACTACAAATCTTGTAGCTTTTCAAAAAGAATCCTGGTGTGGACCTTTGCTTCCTCCAGATGAATTCTTCAGTGTTTCAATATAGGGAAATATAAAGACTGTTAGAGTAATCTAAAATATTCCGTCTAAGTCAGATTGGAAGTCTCTTAGAAGAGTGTTTGTCTTCCCTGCCCATGTAGCTGAATGACCTAAAACAATAATAACAAAAGGTTTCCAGGCTCTACTTCATACATATCGAAGCAGAATCTTTGGAGTGTAACCTGTGCGCCTGTGTGTTCAAAGCATCCAGGTCACTCTGGTGCTCAGTCAAATTTGGGAAATATTACCTGTAAAACATTTAAGTCCCTTTGTAGGAAGACAGATTAAATTAGAACCATTATTATTTTTATTAGCTAGGCAGCTACCTGACAATTTAAGCCCTTAAAAACAGGTAAATTTCAAGGGTGTTCTAACTTGGTGGGGGAAGCTTCAGGGAATGGCAAGTGGCAGGGGCTTGAGCAACCAGAGGCATTACCCAGGATGGAGGTGCTGGAAGAGAAATGGAGCTATCACAAGGATGAAGATAGGAATCAACATCATTTAAAAATCACTTCTTTGTAAATGTGCAGATGCCATGTTGTAATTCATGAGAAAAGTGATTGAAATCTATCACAAATTTATGTGAGAATTTGAAAATAAACATGACAGTCCAATGCAAAGCTATAAAAAAATTCAAAGTTAGCTTTTTATATCATTTTCTGTTGATATTGGACGAGCATCATAAGGGATCCAGTCCTCTTAAAGGGAGAAAGATTTAGTAACCAGTCTGATTGTTTATAGACTGTGGCTTAATTGAACCTCATTCATAATATCATGTTAAAATGATATGTTTACATCTTACGTACCTTATATCCAATTGTGGAAGGAAGAATTCTCAAAAGTTTAAGGAATTTTAAGTATTACCTCTTAAAATTGAAGAGATTGGAGCATGTACATATTCCTTAATAGACCAGGAGCCTGCAAGTCCTATCCCAATCTACTCTTTGTATTACGACTCTTAGAAACATAGTGCCTTAATATTTAGTGACTTTGGAACTCTAGTCTTTGATCTGCTCTATAGTCATAAATGTACTGATAAAAGCCCCACGTATATTACTTCTCTTAATACATCTGGTTATTCACTTTCTGTTAAACTAATATGTTTATTTTGTTCACCAGCTCTTACTTACTGCCTGAGACCCATGTAAATCATTTCACCAAACTAGCAGATAATTATATGTAAATATTTATTTTTAAAATGTATATCCCACCTTGTTCCAGGAAAGATTTAACATGGCTTATTAATAAATAAGTTAATAAAACAGCATAAATTAGAAATTAATCGTGAGAACCTTAAAGTGGAATGAAGAAAGGCACTTTGAGAGCTAGCTCTCCAGTGCTCATAGACTGTTTTACCTCTTCATTGCCTCTTACCAAAACAGTAGGAGTACCCTTTCTTCAGCATCCATGATTAAAGTCTAAGATCTGATTCTGTTTGCCAAAAATGAATCCTTATATGCCTATTAAAGAAGGAGCCACTGTTTTTATAAAATCTCTTCCCTGCATTAATGTATTATGTGGAATACATCAGAAGCCATATTATAGCCATGTAGTACTTTAGTTTTGTATATAGAAAAAAAATTAAAAGTTATGAGTGAAACTGTGCCTATTCAGATAATCAGTAAAAAGTTCTGGTTGTGTTATTTTTATTTTATAATGCTTATTGAAAAGTCCTTAAGTGCTTTTTCTTGCTGTTTGTATCAGCTTGAATGGTATATCCTATGGTAAATGTTAGCTTTTGCTGATTTGGGGCTGTATCAATTACATTTAAAGTGTATACATTTATTTTTAAGAGGCCTGGATTTAGTATTCATTTATTTGTTTATTTATTTAAGGAAAAGTAAACTCATAAATGAAAAAGCCCTGAACCAAAAATTTATAACTGGCACCAGTTTGGCCAAGATCATTAGTTATTCGTTGGTTGTTCTGTTTGGAAATAATTCGTGCCTTTCCTTGTGATGTTTGTTTGTTAAGAAATCCTTTTTATAGTTTTAATGTGAAGTTCACACTTAAAAAAAAACTGATCAGCTGGAACTACTCTGGCTCAAGTAAGTGAGCAGCTGGGATCTAAGAACTGCCTGCTCAGCATTCTTACTTTTCCATCCCTCTTCAACCTCTGAGATGCAAATCAAGGGACCTCTTAAGGCACCCCAGAACATTTTCTTAATGGAATTTAAAAATAAATTCCCTAGTATCCATTAACCTCTTTTCTGCAGAGTGACATAGGCTAAGGGAACCTGAAAAAATCAAATAAATGCATTTTGCTACTTGCTACCTGCTTAATGAAGATTTGGTGGAAGCATTTGAACCTTAAAAAAATTTTAATGTCAGTGTGCATTAAAATTCATCTTTTTCCTGTCCCACAGTCTGATGGATCAAAGTACAGATGATCTAGACCTAGATATAACTATATGCATGTAGCTATTACGGTAAGGGTACAAGGGTCTTCCTCAAGGTAACAAGCCACTAATAATTACCTCTCTCCTTCTCCTGCTTTTCGGTGTCTCTCTGCACTCCTGACTTTTATATAGAACAAAGAACTTTGAGTCTGGTAAGGCCTATAAGGAGACATGGGGAAATGGTGGAGACAACTCTTCTAGCAATGTAGTATCCAAACAGCCAGGCCGAGTGACAAATGGTCAGCCTCAGCAAGCAACCACAGGAGCAGCAGGTGGTGGATACATTAAACGGTATGTCAGTCCCTCCCAATATTTTAACCCCTTTCCTAAGTGAATGGCTCACTGAGGAAGATGGGTATAGTTAGTTATACATGAATTCTAACTCATCAGTTAGAAATAGCATTTATTCCATTTTAAAAACACATTTAAAAATTGGCCTTCTGACTAAGTGTTGACTGTGGTTATTGGTCTTCAATGGTAGATTTTTCTTTATATTTTTCAGTACTTTTCCAAATTACTGAGTAGGCGGTAAATAGGAAAATATGTTGTGAGATAGCCTCTAGAGCAGGGGTTGGCCAAATCTTTATAAAAATAGCTGTAGAAGGTCAGATATTTCAGACTTTGCAGTCTCGTGTAACTACTGAAATTTGTTGTTGTAGGGAGGTTTGTTAAAACTCATTGCTGGGATCTACTTCCATTGTTTCAGGAGATCTGGAATGGTGTGTGAGAATTAGCATGTTTTGTATCTACCAAGTTCTCAGTTTGTGCTGGGAATCACACTTCAAGAACCACTGTCCTAAAGTTGTTTCTTAATCGTCTCTCACATGGCTTTAAGACATTGTGCTCTCTTTGATTAGTCTTTCCATTTTTACTGTAGAATGTTTCTAACAGTGGTAACCTACGTCCCTTGGGTCTAACACTTGCTGAGAGTCATTTTAATTGATTATTTTCATGGAAACTAAATCCAGACTTACTCCATTTAGAATTCAACAAAAAATACTAACTATCTTTTTGTGGTAGTGTAACAAATGATGCCAGAGAAGATGAAATGGAAGAGAACCTGACTCAAGTGGGCAGTATCCTAGGAAATCTGAAAAACATGGCCCTGGACATGGGCAATGAGATTGAGGCTCAAAATCAACAAATACAACGGATCTCAGAAAAGGTAAAAGCTTCTTAGGGCCATAGGAAAATGCAACATCTAGTAGTGTTTTTGTAATGGGTATCTGTGCTACATACTTTGGGGGAGAACAGTAGGATAAGATCCTGTCCTCATCGGTGCTAGAGTTTTGATGAGGTGGCCAGTTTTAGCGCCGTGAAAAGCAATAGCCAAGTTCTTCCTTTGCTCTTAGCCATTGGTTCGTTTTGAAACCAAGACCTTGGAATGAAATGGTTTTATTTAAAATTTCACACATGAAACTTAGTATCTCTTAACATCTGTGTGGGCTGCCTCCTCCCTGCCCCCCACCAAAGGAATGAGTTAGTTTTTGGAGTTTTATTTTGTTAAATAACAAATTAATAAGTTCCTGAAACCTCTTAAGTCAATAAGGTAAAAATCAGTTCTTCAGAATGGTTCTTGTGGAATGGACACACAGAATAGTCCTGTGAGTAATGAAACAGGAAGGAAGAAGCTATTTTCACTTTGCATAATATAAAAGACACTGAAAGGGAAATTGTAGTCAGTGTTTGGATGTGCCACATCTAAATGCCATTCTTATTCATTGTTACTTCATTAAAGTCTCAGTGTACATTGAAGGATGGGGGAGTTTTTATGCTTAACTCTGTGGAATCACTTAAAATGGATTTCATTGAGGCAAGTGATGCTTTCAATGCTGTTGGGTTCATTTATACTACATATTACCCAGCATTTTAATTCAGATGCTGATTTGGGTGTGGTAATAAGACTGTCCCAAAGATCTTGGGGAAGGTGATTGCAGCCCATGTTAAACCCAAGATAGCACCAGATGGGATTCTGTGATTCAGTTCCAGTGGCTCCCACAAGGTCCAGACCTGTAGCAGAGAAGAGCATTTTTATACTTCATTGCATCTAAAATGCCATTGATGATAAGCTGTATCCCAGTTTCAGACATGTGAAACTATAAAAAATGTTGTAGAACTCATGAAACATTAGGAAGCTGATATAACTTTGTCATATTTATACACCCAGATTTTTCCAAATGATTTTGATATTCTGTCAGTTCTTACGTGAAATAAATTTTGTAATGTGACTGACTCTTTGCTAAATTTTCTGAATGTATCAGTTACTCCAAAGTATATGAAATTTAACTTTTATTAGGTCAACTTACCTTGTGAAGTAATGCCAACGTCTTTTTCTTTTTTTCAGGCTGACACCAACAAAGATCGTATTGATGTTGCCAATGCCAGAGCAAAGAAACTCATTGACAGCTAAAGTACCACGGCACTTCTTTACCATTTATTCACTTGCCTAGCTCTTCCCTCAGAGTCACTGCCTTTTTAGAGTCTGAAATTTTGGTTCCACACTCTTCTAATCAAGAGATAATGTGGAGGAAGGGTAAGGAGTAACAGCCCATCTTTTCTTTTTCCTTAAAGAGGAGACAGCTGCTCTACCTTCCTCCCAGTGTTTCCTTTATCAGTTTATACTCTTAGCTTGGTTTTTATACATGACATATAGCTTTGTTTTTCACTCACCACATTTACTGTAGCAGGTCCTTCTGCTTTCAAGATTTGGAAGCATTGCCAAAGACAGACATGAAAAAGGAAGGTAGGGGTGGGGGAGGACCAGAAGGAGAAACAAGAGAAAAGAGGTTGTTACCTCAGTAAAACCTTCAGGCCACTAAGCAAAAAGTTGCATAGCCACAGTGGAGATCTAGTTGGGTTTAGATTTTAATTTGCAGATATTGCCAGTTTAGGCGAACACTTGGTTTTGGAGCTTTTATATACAATGTTTTTGTTATACATCGAACTTTGCAACCTCTGCCTCAGAGAAGATACATTGAGTTTTCTTAAAGTGAGCTTGATTCCTGAACTCTTGATGATTCATATATGTACATAGATTCTGTGATCACACTTCGTATTGTACCATACAGGAACACTTTGTACAAATGAATGGCTTTTTATTTTCATATTATTAGTATCATGTTTGCAATTCAAGCCTATTAACCTCATAAATTTGTCATTAGTCTTTGAAGGAAAATATGTAAATATGTATGTGTAACAGGAGACTTTCTCTAAAGCAGGGCTTAAAATATTTTGGGAAAATTTGACAAAATATGTCACGTGACTTCAGATTTACCTCAATGCCAAGAATTGTGTTTAGATAGGGAAAATAAACTTGTTTTGATCTCAGGTAGAAAAATTGTTAGATTGCTTTGAGTTTTATATAGATTTAGACTTTTAAAAAGCTAGAATTCTGTTTAACTAAAAGTGATTTGGAAAGTATGCCTTTGGTTTGATTATTTATGATTGCAGTCTCAATCTCAGCCTTGTGTATTGAACTATGTTCAATCACATGCTTATTCAGGAATCATGCTTATTTAGGCCCTCAGCAGTGTTACAAGAATCCCATTGCTCTTTGTCACCTTTATTTAAAAGCTAGTACCTGCACACTTCAAAGCTGTTAATGTGGATTTGTTTAACCAATAACCACTGCTTGATCCTTACAATTAAATTTTGTAACTAATAGAATTGTTCTTTTAAATAGGTAAATGTGTGTATCTGTGACTGTTTTGGGTTGGGGTGGGGGGCAGTCATTTCATTGGCTCTTATTTAACAAATTGAGTAAAGGTGCATAAATCGAGACGTGCTCCAACAAAAAGCTGCCTTTAGGCATCTTTCCCATTTTTATTGGAAATACTGACAGAATTTTCCTTTCTGTGATATGTGGTTCATTTTAACCATTACTAGTTTTTTATGTGTTTGAATTTAAACACACTAGTGACTAAAATGATAGTGTTTATGAGAACTACAACCCATTTGAGAAGATACAGTTAACATGGGAATTTCCAGAGGCTGAAGAGGAAAACATTTAAAGTGAGGTTCACTTAGGCCTTCTGTAATAGAAATGCTCTATGCCAAAGAGTAGCTTGGCAGGTGGTGGTACACGTGTAAAGTAAGAAGGTATAAAACACCGGGAATTGTGCTGTACCTAAATGCCCTTTCTAAAAGCATTTAAAAGAAAATTCTTTAACACTGTTATGGCTAAGAGAAATAGTTCTGAGGATACCAGTGTGCTACCCTCAGAGTAATTGGTTAGAAGTATGAGCTTAGGCATCAGATTTACACTGGATTTACACTGTAGCTCTGCCTGTTAACTTACAGGAGTTAACAGTATTGCCTACTGAACTTATTTTTAACAGTAACCTCCCTCTTCAAGCTTCGTCTTATAATGGAAAATGATCTTTATCTCTCTCTTTTAGTTATGCCTTTTTATTTTTTATTTATTTATTTATTTTTTTAAAGATTTTATTTATTTATCTTTAGAGGGGAAGGGGGGAAGGAGAGAGGGAGAGAAACACCAATGTATGGTTGCCTTTTGTGCGTCCCCTGCTGGGAACTGGCCTGCAGGGACCTGGCCTGCAACCCAGGCAATGTGCCCTGACTGGGAATCGAACCGCGATCGTGTGGTTCACAGGCCCGCGCTCAATCCACTGAGCTATACCAGCCAGGGCCTATGCCTTTTTTTTTTTTTTTTTAAAGATTTTATTTTTAGAGAGGAGAAGGGAAGAAGAGAGGGAGAGAAACATCAATGTGTAGTTGCCTCTTGTGTGCTCCCCCACTGAAGACCTGGCCTGCAATACAAGAATGTGCCCTGACTGGGAATTGAACCAGTAACCCCTTGGTTCACAGGCCATCACTCAGTCCACTGAGCCACACCAGCTAGGGCCTTTTTCTTCCATTTTAATTTATCTTTTATTACCACGTCAACTCTAGATACTTTCATGTCATGTGTGGATTGTGAATATCCTCTTAACTTAAATTCCTACTTCCTAGACATCCTATACCCAGTTGTACTTAGAATTTGTTCCTTTAAATGCTATTTTCTTTAGGTCACTCTCTTGCTAATATTCTAAGTTATCCCAGTTACATTCATAGTTAGAGTTATATTTCTCAGCTTGATATCCAAGTTCCTTATTCTCTAGCCATTTGGTTCTTATTGTTTTTAACTTGGTGTCTGATCAAGCCTTCCATTTCTGTAGCAGGGGTGTCCATCCTTTTGGTGTCTCTGGGCCACACTGGAAGAAGAAGAGTTGTCTTGGGTCACACATTAAATATGTTGTGACAAATAATCACAAAAAAAAATCTCATAATGTTTTAAGTAAATTTACAATTTTATGTGGGCCACATTCATAGCCATCCTGAGTTGCATGCAGCTCGTGAGCTGTGGGTTGGATGCCCCTGCACGCTTGCTAAAGTCTATTTTAATACCTTATAGATGAAATAAATGGCACCATTTATTGAGTGCTTACTCTGTCATGAGCACTGTGCTAAATGCCTTTTTATGTATCTTTTCAACAATCCTAATATATCTGAGAGGTAGGAGGTATTGCCCATATCACAGATGAGAATAAATCGCTCTAATTCATATAGTAAATGATAGACTTTGAATTCAAACCAGGATCTTTCTCACTCCAAGGCCTATGATCTTACTCAGTATTCTACAATGACTTCCAACCAGGCTCTGAAAGAATGTGACTCAGGGCTGGCTGATGGCCACCAGAATGTGGGTTTCCAGACCACAAGTCAGCATACTTTGTGAGCTCATATTTAAGTCTAAATACTTGTGTACTATAATTTTGGGCATATTACTTTAGATAGTTCCTGCCCTCAAGTTGTTCAGTTTAACAAGTGACAGATGGCTACAGAATGTGAGAAGTGCAGTTGTAACAGATGGAGGAGCAGTTAATTTGCTTAGACATAGGGAAGGAGCATGTAAGGGGGGGGGGGGCATTAGTAATTGTTTTAACTGAGCAAACAATGTAAAGGCAGTTAAAGGAGAGACATATCACTGTGGGTTTAACAAGCAGAATAACCTGGTATGACTAGGCAAGCAAACGAGAGTGAAGAAAGGGTATCTGGAAGTAAGGCTGGGTCCAGTCGTGAAAGGTGGTCGTCATTGACTGTCATAGGGGTGGGGATCTTGAAAACTCCAATTAGCAATGAAGTGGCTGGGGACATTTAAGTTTAGTTTATAAGTTCTGATTTATTAGATAAGTACTTATAAAATATTTAAAGAAAATTGTTCAGTCAGTATTCAATAAAGTCAAGCATAAAAATTTATTTTAAAAAAAGCTCAGCAATGATAAACTGGTACTCCTATTCCTCCCCAAATTGAGAAACAGAAAATAACATGGGAAAATAGAATCCCCAGACCAGAATTAAAAGTCAGAGACACTTCCTCTAATAGAATAAATACCAGGCTCTTATGATCTCTTGACTTAAAGGTCAAAGTAGGTTTGTAAAACAACTCAATACATAGTAAATAGCTCCTTGACTAAGACAAAACTTCAGAAAATGACAGACTGGGAGCTTTCTAAATGTTCGTGTCAGTGACAATCTGAAACCGTCTCCCTGTGTACCTCTGTATTAAGTCTCTCTAATAAGCATGGCTCCACTGCCACAGAGTGTCGGTCACGTAAAGGCACCGCAGTGCCCATGCAGCCTGAACAGGAACCACGTCTTCCCCATCAGCTTACTTTAGAGAACAGGCCTTTCCAGGTTAAAGTTCTCCTGTCTTCTTTTAAAGGATGAACATTTCTCCCAGCCATGAAGTTCATTAAAAATTCTTTATTTTGTATATTCTCTCATTCAGAGAATAAATTTGATAAACATAGGTTGTTTTAAAATAACTGCAGTAGTTTTTTTTGATAATTTGATTAGTAGACTTATAAATACAAAAAGAGGAAAAGGATTACCAGAAATAAGACATTATTTCTAACAAAGCTTCAGGAAAATCTTGATTATTAAACTCTTTTTTTATCTTACAAATTTTGCATATATGGTTTTAGCTCTCCAAGCCCTCTACCAATAAGGCACCTGCAATAGTCAAGAATTTGCTACTGCAGCCTGTGGGTCCATCTCTTAGTGTTGTATTGGTGCTTCTCCGACAAAGTACACTTTTGCTCAAGACAGTCACATATTTATATAGACCCTAAAGTCAAAGTATAAATACTATAGTTGAACAAATGGACTGGAATATAACAGATGGACTGGAATAAAACAGAAATCCTTAGATTGCCATAGCAGCCTCTCACAAGTTACCTGAATTTCATAAAAATGTGAAATGTTAACGGCGGGGGGTGGGGGGGGATGTGTGGGCAGCTAATTTTATGAAAGCTCACATGTTGACACTAAACATGAAATTTCAAGCTGTGTTATGGGGCTATTAGCAGGCAGCATCCCCTCCTCACTGTATAAATAGCAACTAGCTACTGGTTTCTTAAAGCCAAACTAATGATGATTTTGAAGATGGCCATTGTTCACTGCCCCATCCATGCCTCAAAAGGGTAAATTTCCCATCTGTTGATTCCTTTTAGCTTATTTCAGATAAGTCCTGGAAAGGGAAAAAGATCAAATAAAACATAATCTGAAGTATCAGCTCCTTACTGCAGATATCTGTGACAACAATAAGAGCCTTTGATTGAGCCGGTTGCAACAGGTTCCAAATGTCCTACGAGGATTCCCATGCTCATGGAGAACGTCATGCAAACTTCTTCTTGGTGGCCGTGAACCTCTCCATGTACTAAAAATCATGAAAGAAGAATATTATGTGGTACTTTGGCATGAGCAAATACTAACCTATTTGTTACTTAGGTTTTCATGTGATTTTTTTTTTCATTTAGTTTTTTATTAGATATGGTTCCTCATTTCCTACAAAACCTACCTATTCCTAACGCAAATCTAAAGCACATACTTTTGGCATCATATAAATTTTTCTTTGTATTTTAATAGGAAACCTATCAAAAGACAAAAATGCTTTACAGCATCAGAGAAAAAGTCATCTTGGTATAAGAGTACATATTAATACACCTTGGTACAAGAATTTGGCTGGTTCTAGAACCCACCTCCGAAGTGGGGAACAAATGTTGACAAACAGGATTACCTATGCAGCCTGTGGCTGCAGACATTCACGTGGGTTACCTCACCATTCCCTTCTCTAGAACAGTGACAAGAAGTGCAGAAGTGCGTAAATTCATACCTTATCATAGCCTTCTAGTTCTCGAAGTTTCTTTATTTCAAAAAGGTTGCCTTCTACCGCAAGCAGGCAGATCTGGGAATCACTGAGGATGCTCTGTGGAAGCATGCTGAGCTCAAGGCAGTTCTCTTCCAGGCGAAGAACTTTAAGACGAGGACAACAAGATATCTTCACTGAAATCTGAGATATCTATTGAACAACAAAAAATAACAGGAAAATGCATTAAGTGCCGTAACGGTTATTTATTAATAAATTAAGACAAACAAAAAAACCCCTGTACTTGACTATTTGTCCTAGTTCTCCTTTACCGCCTCCGTTTTCTCACTACCTACTCATTCCAGAAGCCTCTGTCATCTGGCTTCTGTTACTACTCCTCCACTTTTTCAAAGGAAAAATGTTTTGAAGGCTCCCAGTGGCTTTTTGGAAATAACATTTTCTGACTATAAAAGCACTATTTGTTAGAGAAAATGTGAGAATCACATTTTAAAGTTTAGAAAAGTTACCTGCAATCTACCACCATAAACATTTTGGTACATTCACTGCCAATCTTTTGTGTGTGTGTGTGTGTGTATGTGTATATATATATTTGATTTTACTATCTATCCCTTCATTGAAACTCCCTGTTGTATCTTAAGAACTGGGTTTTTCTTCCTAACTTTTAAATTATTCCTGATTTTTGGCTTCCCTTCTTGTTCCTATGGTCATCTTTCTAAATTTTTTTCCTAGACAGCTCATCCATTCTTTTTTTTTTTTTATAGTTAAAAAAGATTTTTAGAGGGGAAGGGAAGGAGAAAAGGAGAGAAATATCAGTGTATGGTTGCCTCTCGTGGGTCCCCTGCTGGGAACTGGCCTGCAACCCAGGCATATGCCCTGACTGGGAATCGAACCTCCAGCCTTTGGTTCACAGGCCCATGCTCAATCCACTGAGCTATACCAGCCAGGGCTCATCCATTAAAGCTATCATTTCTGTTAAGACCTCAACATCTGTAGCTACATTCAAACTTCTCACCTCTATTCCACTCTTATGTCTCCAATTTTTAGTACATTTCCGTTTGCACCACCATAATCAAGTCAGCATGTCTCCTCAGTAGCACTACTCTTTTGTTAGGCCCTCAAGCTCATACCAAGCAACACTGAACTCATTCACCTCTTTTGCCCATTAAATGCTGCAAGTCACCAAATTATGTTTACTCTGCTTGGTATCATCTCAGACTATCAACTGGTACTTTTTAGAAATGCAAACACAACCCCCCCCAGACCTACTGAATCAGAAACACTGAGTTTGGGCCCAGTGATCTCTCTGAACAAGTTCTCCTGGTTATTCTGATGCACACTAAAATCTGAGCATCATTAATAAAGGCATTGGCATGGGTAAATGTGGAGGGAATAAGTTCTCAACCAATACTAGCTGCTTAGTTTTTTTTTAAGTACCCCCCAAATATTCACAATTTTTTTTCAAAAAGCACAAAATAAGAATATTCACTTAAGGAAAAGATGAGCCTAATACCTGCAAAAACAGACTGGATTTTGTAAATTTAAGAAGCCTATAATATGTCCCAATGAAACTTTTTACAATAATTGGAATGTTGTCTATCTGTGTTGTCCAACGTAATGGAGCCATTTATTACGTATGGTTTTTGAGCACTTAAAGCTTGTGGTAATTGAGGAACTAATTTTTCCTTTTAGATTTTCTTTTTTAGAGAGAGGGGAAGGGAGGGAGGAAGGCAGAGAAACATTGATGTGTGAGAGAAACATCTATTGGTTGTCTCTCACATGCCCCCAACTAAGGACCTGGCCTACAACCCAGGCATGTGTCTCCACTGGAAACTGAACCAGTGACCTTTTGGTTCACAGGCCTGCATTCAATCCACACCAGCCAGGGCAGAGTTTTTAATTTAAATGAATTTTAATAGCCACATGTACCTAGGGGCTACTGTATTAGACAATGGATTTAGAAACACAGACACTAAAAAAAACTAAAGGCCACCTAGCCTCAGTATGTTTCATGTTCATCTTCTGTGTCTTATGTTTAAATCAAAGATTGTTTCTCCATTCAGACACATAATAACCAAAGAGCTTCCAAAGTAATGGAAACAAATTTCAAATATTACAATGTAAGCTGTCCAACAATGAAAGGAGCTATCTCCAGAAAGCCTATCACTGATAGTTTCTCAGCAAAAGCAAGACACACACTTGACAAAGTGTCAAAAAAAGGACAACTGATTACCTCTAATGTCCAACTCTAAGAACCTATGAGTGTTAAGTCTCTTTGCCACTCTACCTTCCTGACACAGCCTCTTGCTAGATTACTAGAGGCATGTTTGAGGAGTATCTGGAGATTTGTGAGAGTAACTTTTGAAACTATCACCCATTACCCATCCCACCCTCCAAAAATCACCTACACAACAAACACAACCAGTGTCTCAACTACTTCCATGGGACTTTGGGTTTTGAAATCAGTCCAGCCCATAGAATATACCTCTCACCTAGCTTCTGATGCCCAGCTCTGTGTTTATAGTTTAGAGAAAAAGAAAGTTATTCAGGAGACTGTGAATATATACAAAGAAAAAACCCTTAAGCTGTAGACCTGATTCTGGTTGAGGTTAAGTTCGATGACCTGTAGCTCCCCCACTATGTCAGGTATGCTCCGAATCTGGTTCTTGGAGAGATCTACCACATCCAGGTGCCGCAGGCTACAAAGTTGGGGTGGTAGCGCTCGTAGCTGGTTCCCAGAGAGGCTCAGGGTCTTGAGGGCAGACAGTTGCCCAAAGGTAGAGGGCAGTTCTCTCAAGTGATTATTGTTTAAGCTTAGTGTCTCTAGTTTTTTCAGATTGTGTAACTCATCAGGGAGAACATCTGGCAAAGACAGAAAAAACAGAAACCTGAATCTGATGCAGCTGAAAAACAGATGAAGCTTAATGAAGTTTATAAAAACTAAATGGCAGCCTACTATGCCTCTTGTTAATATACACAGAATTCCTATATGTTGTGCCATTTTTTACGTATTGCATTTTTACCAACAGTCTTCAGAAGGTGAAAGGGCCATCAAAATAAAGAAAAGCATTTATGTGTACAGGGACCTCTGCACAATCTGACAGCAATTTTGTAAGGTTTGGAAAGCCCTCCCTTTCCATCCCCCCCCACCCCGTCCGAATTATCCCATTACCAATCATCATACCACCAAAGGCTTGTAGATGTAATTACAAACGAGAAATTTTCAAGTACTCTGATACTCTGCGTCTCGAGCACTCTGAACAATTTCGTAACAACAAAAATCAGCTTGTAAGAGAACATCACCACCCTTCTTAATAGCTCATCAGTAGCAAAGCTTCCCAGACGCAAAAGCCATACTCAGTTTGTTGTTGTTCAAGGAGAGGCTCTTCAGCAGAGTGAACTTCCCTATGATCGTGGGCGGTAGGCTCTCTATCTTGTTGTTGGATAAGTCGATGGTCCTGAGATTGCTCGTCAGCTTCTGCAACTCTGAAGGGAACTGGAGAAAGGGGTTCACAGCGCAGAGAATCCCTCACTGATTAACTTCATAGCCCCCGCCACCCCCTCCCATTAAATTCCTTTCTCGGGTCCCTCGCAGTCTCACCTCAGTCAGCCCGCGGTCCTTAAGCTGAAAGACACCGGTTTTTTGCGCGGTTTCCACATGAGCGCGGAGGGCACTGTTTCCCATCCTAGCGCCGAGGCTCAGGTCCCTGCGGAAAAGTGAGTGCAGCTGTCACCATTCGGTCCAGGCACGGAGCCACCCCGAGGGCCTCCCGCCTGGGTATCCAGCCCCAGCCGTCACCTCCTGCAGATCCCTGGGTCTTGTAGGACAGCTCAAGAGTGGCGAGGAAGAAAGGGAAGAACGGACAACCTGAGCACCTGGCCCTGCCTGTGCAGCTGCTGTTCCGAGCCTAGACGGTTCTAGGAGCCCATGCAGGATCAGGGGACCCCGGACGCACCCCCTACCCCACGGATCAACGGGCTCTGAAGAGGAGGACCCGGGACACCCTCTCTCCAGGGACGCGCTTCCCGGGCTTCCGCCCGAGCGGAAACGCCCAGTGACGTCATCGAACCGCGCGGCGCGTTAGCGGCCGTTCCGCTAGTTCTCAGCGCCAGCCGGGAGGTGGGTCTCAGTCATGGCTGCGGCGAACTTTTGGGACCCGGCGTCCGCGCCAAACGGTGCTGGGCTACTGCTGGGCCATTTCGTAGCTTCGGGGATAGTCACTCAGGTACGTGGGAGGCGATGGCGTCATTAAGGGGGGCTTACCGTGGCGACAGGGCGATAGTGAAGTGGTGGTACTGGCTGGGGTCTGTACTGGAGTGAAAGCAGATGGAGCCCGTTCCGGGCAATAACATACCTTTCTGCAGTGGGTTCTGCAAAAGCGGGGCTCTGAGTAGACGGTGACTTCGGTAGGGGGTGTCTGCAGGCGAGTTACCCCAGGTCAGTTCGTGGGATATAATAAAGAACGGTGTTTGCCCCCGTTTTTTTGTTTTTGTTTTTTCTTCATTTTAGTGGTAGATACCGTCTCTAGAGTGTAATGGGTGATGCGTTGGGAAAACGGCCAGGTAATTAAAACATACATTTCCAAACAACGCTCGTTTGTGTGAGGCATTGAAGCGTACAAGGTGGGGCAAAGTAAGTTTACAGTTGTAAATAGGAGAAACACAGTTTATTCTTGTATTGTCACATATTAATTGTTACATTATTTTCCATACTAACAACTGTAAACCTACTTTTGCCGAAACCTGTATTGGGGGCGGGAGGCGTTGGGTACAGGGGAGCGCTAGGGAAAGCGGGCATCCTTAAAGTCTCTTCAAAAAAACTATTGGTGGAAAAGACCCGGAAGACCTTGTAACATGAGTGGAGGAAGGGATTAAATTTGAGAAGGATATGAAGAGAGATCAGCCTATGGGACAGTGGTTTTAGGTTGGACAAGAAGAGCATGTTCATAGGCCAAAGGGAAAAAGCCAGTAAGAGAGGGAGAAATTGAAGATGTGAGGGAATAATGGAATACAACTGGCAAAAGTGACAAGGGATTCAGGAAAGTGGAATTGAGGGAAATAAGTCATTTTGAGATCATGAGAACTTTGAGGAATATCACTAAAAAAGGAAACAGAAAAATAGAAAGGTAAAATCATCTGCGGAGACCAGCAGTATAAACGTGATGGGAGGTTTATGGAAAATATACAACTTTTTATACTAGAAGAGTCATTAGAGAATTCTGCCACCCTAACAGTAGAATTGAAGAAACTAAGGCCTAAGGAGACCAAGAAATTTGCCCAAGGTCACTTAACTAGTGAAGTAGGATTAGAGACCAGAGCTCTCCCTTTCCTGACATACAGGCCATTCCCTAAATGCACCGACTGAGTCATCCCCTGGGCGTTAAAAATGAGGAGTGATGCTTAAAACTGATGTGATACAGCTCTTCTAGAAAATGTAGCTTGTTTGAGCTTTGTTCTGTTTCATTGGAGAATGATTTAGTGAAAGAAAGGTAGGGTTAGCTATAGGATAATATGGGGTATTTGCTTTCTTTTATGCTTTAGTGGCCTTACATTCTAGATAATTTTCAGGCAAGCTTGAGTGAACTGTGGCAACTGGATCAAAGCTCCGTCTACTGGTAATGTAGAAGATAAAGATCTGGAGCTACAAAACATGCAGAATCTATTATATATTGGGGCTAAGTCACAATCCTCAAATAGTTAGAATTTCTGTTTACTAGAGGAAGTTGGCTGCTCTTTCATTCCCCTCTCGTTTTTGGCTCTTTCTTGAACATTTTTATTTCCCCTCTGGTTTCTATCACAGTAGATGATTAAGCTCCGTGCCCTGTTGTTGAATCCAACAGTTTACCAGTTTGCAAATGTGTAACTAAGATTAGTGTATACATTTGAAGAGACAGAAAGGTACCAGAGAGTGAGTAGGTTACAATGAGAACTGAGAGGTGTTTTACTTTCACTTACCTTTTATAAAAGAGAACAGAAAGAAAAGTAACAGAGGCTGTGATGATAATGTGGTGGATTAGATGTGTTCTCATTTTAGCCCTGATACACATTGGGAGGCATGTAACATTTACCCTTCCCAATTTTCAATTTTGTCATCAGTAAAATAGCTTGTGTTATCTCAGTGAATGGCGTAACTATCTGTTCAGTCACCTTGGAGTCAGTACGTATTAACCTGACTTTATCCCTCACTATCCCTATCAACTGGGACCTACCAATTCCTTCTTCCCAGAGATTCATTTCTTTGCTTTCTTTCCTTTTTAACTGCTACTGACCTATTCCACATTCTCATCTTCTTACCTGGAATACTATAGCAGACACTTGTCTAAATCCAACCTTCACTCCACCCCTCCTCTAAATTTTTTTGTTTGGTTTTTATTTTATATTGTTGGCTAGTTACCAGAGAGTTTTATTATAGTAAAATATACGTAACATAACACCATTTTAACTGTCTTAAAGTGTACAATTTGGTGGCATGAAATATAGTCACAATGCTATGAAACTATTTTCAAAACGTTTTTACCATTCACAATGGAAATCCCATACTCATTCAGCAGTCACTCCCCATTCCTCTTCCCTCAGCCCCATTAGTTTTATTTTTCATACCACCCCCACTTAAATTTCTATAATATGTATTATACATGATCATGCTACTTCTTTAGCAGAAGAATTTCAGTTTCTATCATTTCTGTTTATGATTGCTTGTCATAGTTATCAAAGATCATTCATTATTATGCAGGAAACTATGTTTCCATAGATTAATCTACCCCTTCTCACATATATGTTAGTATTAACACAATTATCAAGCATTTATAATGTTAAGTTTTTTCTATCTAGAATACTTTTTCCTTTCCATCATTATGAGCTTGTTAATAGCAGAGAGCTCATTTATTCATTCTTGATTCATTCATTTTCAATGTCAATAAATGTCTGTAAAATTGATTATTATTAGTCAGCAGAATTTTGCTATGAAGGGCCAGAGAGTAAGTATTTGAGGCTTTTGGTCCATATAGTTGCAACCGGGCTATTGTAATGTGAAAGCAGCCAGAGATAATAAATGAGAGAAGTTGAGTTCCAATAAAACTTTATTTTGGGACTCTAAAATTTGAAATACATAAAATTTTCATGTGTCACAAAATAATCATTTTTATTTTCAAAAAGATTTTATTTATTATTTATTTATAGAGAGAGAAGAAGGGAGGGAGAAAGAGAGGGCGAGAAACATCCATGTGAGTGAGAAACATTGATCAGTTGACTCTCGTACATGCCGGGACTGGGACCAAACCTGCAAACTAGGCATGTACCCTAACTGGGAACTGAACTGGCAACCTTTTGCTTTGGGGGATGTTGTCCAACCATCTGGGCCACACTGGTTGGGGCTGTTTTTCATATTTTTTAAATATTTCAGCAAATGATTCATGATAGGGTAGGTTTTAAAAACAAATATATTGCTCCTGTTGTGTTCTGTATTTCATTTTTTTAGGGGCAGTGATGGATATAATGAATATATCCTTATATTTTAGACCCATGGGCATGATTTCCCAATGCACATAGAAACTTTTTTTTGACATTCTGCTGCTTTCTCTGTTTACTTTCCAACAGGAGATGTTAAATATATCTAAGAAATCAACTCCTTGCTTTGTGAACTTCTCCAGGCTTCAGCAGATCACAAATATGCAAGCTGAAATCAATCAGGTGATTATGTTGAACTTTATACTTTCTACTTCTAGTACAGGAAAAAATCTTAATTGGTTCTAACAGCAGTTCTCTTGCACTTAGCACAGCGTCTAGCACGTAGCTGCGAAAGTGTTTACTTGGAGTAATGTAGTCGCACAATAATAGTATTATAGTAGTTGGTAGTAGTAGCAGTAGCAGCAACATAAAAAGCTTCAGTTAGTCCTTAGGCTCTCATAACAAATCATCCTCTCATCCCCCTTAAATATTCTGGTTTGAGGCCCATCCATTTTTATCAGAGACTGTCTGAGTGACCTAAATATTATTTTTGCTTCTAATGCAGAAAAACCTAGAAATTGAACTTCTAAAACTAGAAAAAGATACAGCAGATATTGTTCATCCTTCCTTTTTGGGTAAGTGGTTTGGTTAAATGGGTGGGTAATCATTGGAATTTCAACTTTTTCTTGAATTACCTTAAATAAACACCAGGCATTATAATTTACCATTATTTTTCCAGGTATTGCCTCAAAGCTAACAAAGTTTTCTATTAATGTGTTCAAACAAAAGTCCTGTTGGCTTGGCTAGTGAGAATTGTATAAAAGGTGACCAAGGTAGGAGCTCCTTGAGATCAGGAGAGCTTGAAAAAAAATAATAAAAGGCTAAACAACTTTTCAGATTAAAGACAACTGAAGGGACATGACAGCTAAAGCACAGTGTGATCCTAGATTGAATACTTGATTACAAAAAAATTTTGCTATAAAGTATATTATTACGATTCTTGGTGACATTTGAACGTGGACTGTGTTAAATATTGGTAGTGTTGTACCAATGTTAAATTTTCTGAATTTGATATTTGTAGTCATATAAGAGAAGGTTCCTATTCTTGGGAAACACATGCTGGCATTTAAGGCGTAAAAGGTTATGATACCTGCAACTTACTCTCAAGTGGGTCAGTAAAAATATATGTAAGGGTGTGGAGAGAAAATGGGAAAAAGAGAAAGTGTAGCCAAGTATTAACAGTGAGTCTAGGGGAAATGCATATGAGAGTTCAGTAAACTACTCTTGAAACTTTCCTGTAAGTTTGAAATTTTTTCAGCATAAAAATTTAAAAGAAGAGGCAGCTGTTAACTGAATTCTGGGGAAAATATTGAAATAATCAGAAATAGCTTATAAGGCAAATGTTTGTTTTTTAATGTTTATGTAAAATATTAGAGGGAGAGATGGGAAAAGGGACTTTATTTACAGCTCTGGCTATAAAAACTGAACTAGGAGTAGAGTTGAAAAACACAGAATTTAGCAGTGGGTTTGGATGTCAGTAGGAAAAGTGAAGAAAATGAAATTGGTATTGGGTATTAAGAATAGCAAAAGGGAGATATTTAGGAGGGAAATGGTGGGGTAATTTTTGACATTGGTAATATCAAACAAAAGCAAAGAAGAACTTACTAGTGACTTCAAAATTTGTCCTGTTGCTAACCACAATGATTGTTTCTGGTTCATGTAGCTCAGAAGTGTCAGACTCTGCAAAGCATGAATAACCATTTGGAAGCTGTGCTGAAAGAGAAGTGGTCCCTCAGGCAGAGACTGTTAAAACCCATGTGCCAGGAACACCTGCCTATTGAAGCTGGTTATCACAGGTTAGACTAAATTAGACATTAATAGTTACATGTTTTCTGAAGGTAGGTTAGTTATCATTTCAGAGCATAGTTTGTTACTTAATGTTATTAGTGATTGTCTCTATTAACATTATTATTAATACTGATATATTAAACCAGAAGAAAAATTTTTTTGCTATGGTGAAAAGAAAGGCATTTCTTTTGTCCATAGTGGTTTGGAAATTAATAATAATTTTAATGAAAGAAATTAGATCCATAACAGAGTAAATTGGGTAAAAATCACTTTTATTATGTATAGACTGTTTCTTGTGAAGTAAATCTGTTGTTGCATTCATGTTGCCTATATAAGGTGGGGTATCACCTTGTGAGTATGTGAAACAGTTTTTTCTTGTATTACTATTTATTAATTATTATATTACTTTCCATATGAACAACTGTATATAAAAATTCTGTTGGAGTTTAAGCAGGGACAGATGAAAACGATGTCAACTAAAGGAGGAAAAAAACTGAGTTCTGGTCTCATCTCTATTGTTTCTCTGCCTCAAGGACTTGGGCATATGGTTTAAACTTGCCTCAGTTTCCCAATCCATAGATGCTTTTTATGGCTCTTGTCCTCATAGGAATATTCGAAGTACCAAAGTGAAGATGTAATTAGTTATTAATAATAAAATAAAGAAGCAAGCATCTGGGAATCTGATTGCTAACCTCCTCCACCAGTGCCTCACTAGCTGATTGTGAGCAAATCAGTGTCTTCTCTTAAGTGTCAGATATTTTTATCATTTAGTAATATAATACATATACAAGTCCCATTCTTGTAGATATATTCAGTGTCCTGTAGAGTAAAATTCCATGAATGTATATTATATATATACACATACATTCATATGTATTATACATACATATGTATTATATATGTATACATATCTATATCTCAAGCTAAGTAATGATTTTAAAGCATTTTGTAAATGCAAAGATTCAAAGTAGTTTTATCTGTAGGCTATTTCAGTGAAGTACATTTATTCTTATTGTCTCCCACTCTTCACCAAGAATGACTAGTTTGAAATGGAACAAGGTTTTACCTAAGGAAACTCCTTTATTTATATGAGAAAATTAATGTCTAGCATTAGGTTGGATTCCAGATATAATAGTGTTGTCCCTTTTGGTTTTTCTGTTTGACAAGTTAACTCCTGTTTTAACTGAAAGAGAAGGACCTTTTTTTAGCACTGATATTTCCATGAATGCAGAAAGATTATTATTGACTTATTAGGTTGATTGTAATTCTCTTATATCATGTTGAAAGTCATAATTAAGAAGGGAAAGGGAGCCCTGGCCAGGTGGCTCAGGTAGTTGGAGCCTAGTCCCATGTACCAAAAGACTGCAGGTTTGATTCCCAGTCAGGGCATATATGTAGGTTGTAGTTTTGGTCCTCAGTCAGGGTACATAACAGGAGGCAACTTATCAATGTTTCTCTCTCACATCCATGTTTCTCTCTGTCTCTCTCTCCCCCCCACCTGTCCCTCTCCCTAAAAATCAATGAAACATATCTTTGGGTGAGGATTTTTTTTTAAAGATTTTATTTGTTTGTTTGTTTGTTTTTCAGGGGGGAGGAAGGGGGAGAGGGAGAGAAACATCAGTGTGTGGTTGCCTCTCACCTGCCCCCAACCAGGGGCCTGGCCCCCAACCCAGGCATGTGCCCTGACTAGGAATTGAACCAGCAATCCTTTGGTTTGCAGGCTGGCACTCAATCTACTCACAGCACCCAGGGCTAAAAAATTTTTTTGAAATAAAAGGGGAAAAAGAGAACACAAAATAACTACACTTAAAAAATAATTGGCTGTTTTTCTTTCTCTTGCAGTTACTTGGTACATTTGCTGGAGTTGGCAGTGACTTTCATTGAGAGATTAGAAACCTATCTTGAAACAATTAGAAATATTCCTCACTTAGATGAACGTGTAAAGAAAATGGTGAGTATTAACAATAACTTTACGTGCCTCTTCAGCTTCTTTCACATTACTTTTAGTTGTCTTTAGTTCTTCTGTACTAGAATCTCAAATGTGTGGCATATTTGTTTAACTTTTTGATAGCTAATATGAGGAAATTATTTTTTAAAATCAAGATGCTGTTTCTTTTTTGTATTATTTGTATCTCAAGGTTTGGTGAGAGAGCCGTAAGATATTTTCTACTTTATAGTATATTTGCACAGTGAATGCAGCAGAGAATTTTAAAGAAGATGCTGTCTACTAAATGCAGAAAAGGGAGGAATTACTTCTACTTTAGGGTAGGAAACTTCAAGAAAGTTTTGTATAGGAGATAGTAATGAGCTGATCTTGAATCAATGACATTTGGACATGCTTCAGAAAGAGTAGTTCAGTTGAGAGCAGCAGTGTGAGGAAAGATATGAAAGTTGGCACTAGTAGTTTGGGGGGAGAGCAGAGTTCCACTTCAGGTGATGCTTAAACGTGTTGAGAGGGAGATTACCAGTAACTCAGGGTTACTTTATGGAATGCCTTGAAAACTAGACTAGGAATTTGAGACTTTACTGTCTGAGTACTGGGGAACCACTGAATTTTGTTTTGCTTTGTTTTTTAGAGAAAGGCACAGAAGAATGACCTTGTCAGAATTGTACTTTAATCATGGAGAAAATATTGGGTAGAGTAGACTGAGCCTTGCCACTCAGTGTGGGCAGAGTCAATGTAAGCATCGCCTGGAAGCTTGTTAGAAATGCAGAATTGCAGATTTGATTCACCTTAGACCTTCAGAATCTGAATCTACATTTTAACTTCCTCGGGTGATTCCTGTGCACTTTAAAGGTTGATAAGCTAGCTGTGTGTTAGAGGACTAAGCAGAGGAACCAAAGGCAAAGAAACTTGGAGAATAAGTATATTTAGTCAGATAAAAGATTTAAAGCATGGGAATACAAAAGATCGTGTAAGTTTTTAGATCTTGAAGGTCGGATTTTTAGAATAGGGCTACTATTTGGACAAGGAACATGTCCAAGGTGATGAAGTTTCTAGCCTTGCTGACCTGAGGGTGAGTAGGAACAAAAAATTAAAGAAAATGAGTTTATTTTTTGGTGTCTTGCACGGATAGTAAATGTTCAATCATTGTTTGTTAAACTGTAGTTAAATTGCGTTTGAGATATTGAATGTACATCCAGATGGAGATTTCCAATAGACTGAAATGCAGGACTGAGTTTAGGAAGGAGATTAGGTTTGACATTGTAGATTGAGGGTCATCTGCATTGAGGTGATAACTGAAGACAAAGGAGAAGTGAACTCACAAAGAAAAAGCATGTGTGTAAAAAGTGGGAGAGCAATTTTAAAGCACTTTTGTATTCAGGGGTTTGGAAAAGATCAGGTGTTAACTTCTGGTATTATAATCATTTCTGATATAATAGTGATATATTAATGATAGGCATAATTTCTCTCCTATTTTCCCTTTTTTTCAAATGTTACAGAGCAAGGCTTTAGCCGAGATGGATATTTTGGTGACTAAGACAGAAGAACTGGCAGAGAATATACGCAAGTGGCGAGAACAACAAAAAGAAGTTTCCTCTTGTATCCCCAAAATATTAGCTGAAGAAAATTTTCCTCCCAAACATCATGTTACAACACCTCCTTTACCTCTTACTTCTGAAGTTCATGTCCAGAATGTTAATGCCAAATGATTCAGCTGTATAATCTTAAGTCAATTTCTAGTCAATGATAATATGGGTAATTTGTAGGCTTTGCTGCTAGCAGTACTAAAAGAGCCCTCACAGTATTGAAGTACTAAGATTCCAAGTTCATTAAGACCAAACAAAATTTACTTTTAAAAAGTCTCGCGCATGGATATGTTTATTCGGAGTCAGAGAGAAATACTGTGTGAGAGAGAAACATCAACCTGGTGCCTCAAATAGGTGTCCCAGCTGGGCTCGGACCCGCAGCCTCTTAGAATACGGACGGCACTCCCACCAGCTGAGCCACCTGGCCAAGGCTGCTTTGTTTTTATATATTTTTATTCCACTTTTCAATGAAATTTAGGAAGATCAAGTATACCTATGACAGTTCATTAATGAGAGTGTCTCCGTAGCTGAAGCAGCAGACTCTACATCTTTTTTTTTTAATGCTTGTTTCTGAATTAGAAGAGTCTCCTTGAATCTGAAAGAATGTTGATTATTCCTGTGAGATTGTCACTAAATGTGCAAAAAAGAATAACATACTGTCTTTTAAAGGGCTTGCTTAAAGGTGGGACCTTTGCTGGTGTCTGGGAACTTAAGTTTCCAGAGGCTTCCTCCACTCTCACTGATAAGAGTTCTCTGTGATGAAGCTGTGTGTACAGCGTAGTTTTTGCCGAATGCCTGCCTTTCTTCTGGGAGTCTAGATTTTGGTACATGCTAGGTAGATGGTACGTATGTGACTGGCATACAAAAATAGCCCTGGACATGGCATCTCTTCCGTGATAGACATTTCACACATGCCACAGTTCGGGTGCGGGGGACTTGGGCACATCCTCTGTGACTCCACTGGCAGAGACTCTGAGAGCTAAGCCTGGTTTGCCCCAGGCTTTGTCCTGTGCACCTTTTCCCTTTGCTCTTTTGCATTTATGTTTTTACTGTAATGAATTATAGCCAGGAATACAGTGACATGCTGAGTCCTGTGAATCCTCAAAGCATGTCATCAAACCCGAGTAGGGTGAGTCTTGGTGACTCTGACACACTGAGCAATTCCTGAGGGTGGTCACCGGCAGCCTCAGGAACAGGCAAAGAAAAAGGCACTTGATGGTAGAACTTTGAGAGGTTTACCTTATAAAATGCTCAGATGTGTTACCCATATAAGATTATCGTGCATATGAAAGGAAGCGGTATGCCAAAACTTACTAATACTAAGCAGCCTCTGAATGTATTCATTCGTATCAGTAGTATTACTACCCCTGGCTTATTTTCAGACTTGGGATTCTCTTTTGCTTTAAAATGTGTACATCAGTATTTTTTTTAATTTTGTTTTTTATCCTCACCCAAGGACATTTTTTGCATCATTTTTAGAGAGAGGACAGGGGAGAGAGAAACATCAGTTGGTTGTCTCCTGTATGCACCCAGACTGAGGATCAAACCTGAAACTCAGGTATGTGCCTTGACTGGGAATTGAACCTGCAGCCTTTTGGTTACAGGTTGATGCTCCAACCAACTGAGTCACATGGATCAGGGCACATCGATATTTTTATACTATTGTCTGTCTGTCTCACTGTGGTTCACTGGTCCTTGCATTCATCACACTCAACACAAGAAGACCTCAGCACAGTGGATGAGTAAAGTAGTTGTTCGTAAGGTGACAGGATCGTTGCCGAAAAGTAACCTACAAAAGCAACTAGGGATATTTTGAAGCCTATTTTGCTGACTTTTGCACATGAGTTATAGAACAGTGGTCATACATGTTAAAACATTGCCTAACACTTAAGCAAACTTCTCAGTTGTATTTCATCAGAAATCTGTTCGGGTCTAGCCTTGGTTTCAAACATATTACTATGCTGTTTCTTCATGTGATTTCCTATAATAGTTTATATATACTGGGTGGGGCAAAAGTAGATTTACAGTTGATCAGATGGAAAATAATATGACACAATTAACTTTCACATACAACTGTAACCCTGCCTTTGCCCCACGCTGTATATAATATGTAAGGGTGAGCTATATATATAATGTCTTTCTCAAAATAAAAAATCTTAATTTCTAACTAAAATGTTGTGGCTCTTGTCTGAATTCTATGTGATAGATTCTGTATTTAACTTAACAGTTGAAGTGTAGGCATACCGGCAGTCTGACTCAAAAAAGCTTGAGGTAAGTTGCACCTGAAGGTTACTTCAAAGAGAAAAGCTAATTTAGTATTATGCTAGAGGCCATAAATGCTGATCAATTTGTAATTCAGGTTTTAGCCATGTGGATACTAAAAACAAACAAAAGTAGCTCTGGAATGTCTTCCTGCTTACACAGGCAGTGTGTGAAATTTGTGAATTCAGTTCCAACATACTGATGATGCCACAGTGTGAAGACTGTTCTGGAGGAGTTGAGATGCTGCCTGGTCTTCCTAACAGTTTTTGTATTTTACTCCTTCCTCTGATCTGTGACTGCCAGACTGACCCCACTGTCCTCTTAAATCTTTAATAGAGTCAGGAAAATAGTGTGAGGACTAGGAAAATCCAAAGGGATGTTTGGTATACAAAATGACAGCGTTGAGATATTAATAAAACTAAATGTAGAATTTTCTGAGGTGTCTAAAACAAATGAATTTATTTTTTTTAAGATTTATTTCTAGAGAGGTGAGGGGAGGGAGAAAGAGGAATAGAAACATAGATGTGCAAGAAACACATCAGTTGGTTGCCTCTTGCACCCCCAAACTGAGGACCTGGGCCACAACCCAGGCATGTGCCCTGACTGAGAATCAAATCAGCAATCCTTTGGTTTGCAGGCTGGCACTCAATCCACTGAGCCACACCAGTCAGGGATATTTTTTTAATATATTTTATTTTAAAATATTTTATTTGTTATGCCATTACAGTTGTCCCAGTTTTTTTCCCTTTGCCCCGCTCTGCCTCGTAACCCTCTTCCCTCCAGCTCTCCCCTCCCCTTAGTTCATGTCAATGGGTTGTGTGCATAAGTTCTTTGGCTTCTCCGGTTTCTATACCATTCTTAACATCACCTCTGTATACCATTTATGCTTCTTGATTCCTGCACCATTCCCCCCTATCTTCCCCTTCCCCCTCCCAGTTAATAACCCTCCAAATGACCCCCATATCTATGATTCTGTTCCTGTTCTAGTTGTTTGCTTAGTTTTTTTTTTAGATTCAGTTGTCGATAGTTGTGAGTTTATCATCTTAATGTTGATAGTTTTTATCTTAAATAAGTCCCTTTAACATGTCATGTAATAATGGCTTGGTGATGATGAACTCCTTTAGCTTTACCTTGTCTGGGGAAGCACTTTATCTGCCCTTCCATTCTAAATGAAAGCTTTGCTGGATAGAGCAATCTTGGTTTTAGGTCCTGGCTTTTCTTGACTTCAAATAGTTTATGCCAGTCCCTTCTTGCCTGCAAGGTTTCTTTTGAGAAATCTGACAGTCTTATGAGAACTCCTTTGTAGGTAACTCTGCTTTTCTCTTGCTGCTTGTAAGATTCTGTCTTTAACCCTTGGCATTTTAATTATGATATGTCTTGGTGTGGTCCTCTTTAGGTCCAAATTGATTGGGATTATCTGTGCTTCCTAGACTTGCGTGCGTATTTCCTTCACTAAATTAAGGAAGTATTCTTTCATTATTTGTTCAAATAGATTTCCAATTTCTTGCTCTTCCTCTTCTGGCACCCCTATGAGGCGAATGTTGGACCTCTTAACATTTGTCCCAGAGGCTGCTTATACTACCCTCATTTTGGGAGGAATTCTTTGGTAGGAGAATTCTTTTTTCTTCTTGTTTTTCTGATTGGTTGTATTTTTGCTTCCTTATGTTCCAAATCATTTATTTGATTCTCAGCTTCATCCACTTTACTGTTTCCCTGTAAATTGTTCTTTATTTCAATTAGTGAATCCTTTGTTTCTGACTAGATCTTTTTTATGCTGCTGAGATCCTCAGTAAGTTCCTTGAGCATTCTTATAACCAGTGTTTTGAACTCTGCATCTGATAGAGTGTTTATCTCCATTTCATTTAGCTCTTTTTCTGGAGTTTTGGTCTGTTCTTTCATTTCGGCCATGTGTTTTTGTCTCCTTTTGGCAGCCTCCCTGTGCTTATTCCTATGTATTAGGTAGAGCTGCTTTGACTTCATATCTTGATAGTGTCTCCTAATGTAGTAGGTATCCTGTAAGGTCCAGGGCACAGCCTCCCCTATCACCCAAACTGGGTATTTGAGGTGCACCCTTTGTGTGGGTTGAATACACCCTCTTGTAGTTGAGCCTTGATTGCTGTTGGCAGGTCACTGGGAGGAATTTACCAGGCCAGTCAGTTGCAAGGACTGGCTGTGACCACTGACCACCAACCTCCATCCTCTGTGGAGGATCAGCTGTGCAGGGGCAGGGTGGTGGTGCTCTGACATGGTCTGCAGCTGTCCACTGGGTGCCATGGCCCTGGGGTTTCCTGGGTGATGCAGGCCAAGGTCAGCCCCACCACTGTGTTTTGCCCAGGACTGCTTTTCCTGAGGTATACTGCAATCTGAGATAGCTGCTACTTTTGCTGGGCTTGGAGATTCCCAGGTGAAGCCAAGCTGTGAAACTAACGTGGCTGCTGCTAGTGCATGTCCTGGAGCTCACTGAGGCCAGCTGTTGCTTGTTTGACAGGATTTAGAAAGCCGTGAAACATGAGCCAAGACCAGTTATTCATAAGGAAAAGCAGCTTGGGTGGGCCCGTAAATTGGGTGGGGCGGAGACTGTGGGAATCTCCAGGGTGGGGCAAACAGCTTTGGCCAGGTTGATGGAGTCTCAAATATGGCACCAGCTTGCCAGCTCCGTGATTCTTTTGAGGGACAGCTCAGAGAAGGGTCTGTGGCCTCTGCTCACCCCAATGCTAGACACTTCAGCCTCTCTCAATGTGCCACTGGTGCCTTCAGAAAGCTGCCATCCCAGCACTGGAGCTCAGAGGGTCTGAGCTCAGTGAGTGTGAGTAGGTGAGTCCACATGTGGGTTTTTTAAGAGGAACTGCTTGAAACTCCAGAAGTTTCTTCTACTGACTCAATCCCCGCTGGTTTTTGCAGCCAGAAGTTATGGGGACTTATCTTCCTGGCACTGGAACCCTGGGCTGGGGGGCCTGGTATAGAGCTAGGACTCCTCACTCCCGAGAGATCCCTCCTGATTTTTATCTACCACACATGGGTGAGAGACCAGCCTGTTCCAGATCTGCGCCTCTCCTACCAGTCTGGACAGATGTGGTTTCTTTAATACCACAGTTGTCAGACTTCCATTCAACTCAATTTCTGACATTTCTGAGTGATGGTTGTTCTATATATTAGTTGTAATTTTGATGTGATTGTGCAAAGAGGCAAGCCACGCCTGCCTACACGGACCCCCACCCTAAAACAAATGAAATTAAATAAATTTATTCCACAGTTTGGGGATCCACTTATGTAATTGAGTTTACTTAAAATTTGTATAATTAGAGGTAAGCAGATTACATTCTAGAGTTCTTTGAATTTTGCATTTGTTTTCTATTTTAGAAGTTATATTTTCCCCTCTCCTTTTGGAAATGTCTTCTCATGTTTGTTGGAAAAGATTTCCATTAGGGCAGGGGTGTCAAACTCAATTTCACCGGGGGCCACGTCAGCCTTGCTGTTGCCTTTAAGGAGCTGAATATAATTTCAGCTCCTTAACAGTTAAGGAGTAGTTACATTTATACAGTCCTAAAATTAGTTCAGTCCTCTGAAGGCAACCGAGAGGCTGATGTGGCCCCCAGTGAAAATGAGTTTGACACCCCTGCATTAGGGTATGATAAGAGCAAGAATCCCATTTTCAGTGAACCTTTCCTGGGGCACTAACTTTATAAACTACTAATATTGCTACAGCAGAATCTAGGGTGATAAAATAGGAGTCAAATATCTTATTTGAACTTTAAACTGCTTAATTTTCTCCATGTGGAAGGCTAGTAAAAGTGAAAGCTATTAATTTTCTAAAAGTTGAAGTGAGATACATTTCAAGGGTCTGAATATGCTTATCAAAATCAGTTTACTTCAAGATGGCAACATATGCCTAACTTTGATCAGTAGATGCTAATAAAATTATTTTTAGAGAGAAGGGAAGAGAGTGAGAAAGAGAGGGAGAGAAACATCAGTGTGTGGTTGCCTCTCACAAGCCCCTAGTGGGGACCTGGCCCACAACCCAGGCATGTGCCCTGACTGGGAGACAAACCGGTGACCCTTTGGTTCACAGACCAGCACTCAAGCCACTGAGCCACATCAGCCGGGGCAGATGCTAATAAAAATGTATGTAACTTATCCTTTCTGAATCTCAGCTTTTGTAGGACATCAAACTTTACCTTGGTTAACAGGGATTTATGTGAAAAACTTTGTTGGATACCTGAAATACCTGGCATTTCCCACCTATTTCTATAGAATACCTGGAAATAGGTGGGGATCATGGAACAGTATGTTAGCAATTTGAATTGGCTTTTTCTTCAGGCTTATCCTGATCTTATAGTTCTCTATCTCCATCCCACAAATTCAGGAGACTTAGGAGACAGGCTTGTCTTTAGCTACTAAAGTATGGAGGTTAATAGCAAAGGCTTTAGAGTTAGACCTGATTTTTGAATACAGGTTACACCACTTACTAGCTATGTATTCTAGCTAACTTATTTAATAACAGCCTCAATTTCTGCATTTCTAAAGTGGACATAACAGTACTTCATGGATTCTTGGGAAGATTAAATGAGATAATACATGGAAAACCATCAGCTTTAATTAGTACCTAGTAAATGAAAGCCATTGTTCTTATTAGATAAAATGAAAGTTGCAAAGATGACTTTAGTAACTGCTAATTTTCATTCTAAGCTATTCCTTTTATTTCTTCAGGCACTAAATTCCAAAAAATAAAAATAAACGGCTACAGTGGAACTTAAAAAGGCATTTCTGTACCCTCTGAAATTTTACCACATGGGTCATGTTAAAGTCATTCTAATGAGTTGAGAGGAAGAAAATTAGCTTGATTAAAATACAGAACTTATAACAAGAGAAATGCAAATGAAAACTCCTAAGTTGCCGGTTCTTACC